ATTTCAGCTAGTTTCCTTGCTCTCCTCCAACTTTTTACTTCATTTTTGCATAAAAAATACCTCTGTTCAGTATATATTCACTGATTCAGTTGGCAGCATGAACCTGGAGTGACTATCATTGTTCTGTCTTTAAAGGAAAACTCAAGAAAAAAACAAGAGAAAGACCGTGTGTGTAAAGAGAAGAGCGACGCTATGATGGCATTGGAGTGTCATCCTCTTTTTCCTGCCGCAATGAATGACTGAATGAAATGGCCATTAACATATGAAATAAATGCTAGCAAACTGTCAGAACGAGCACTGTTGTGCTTTAAATGATCTCCTGTGAACTGTGAAAAGCATTGACTTGAAATACTGCGTGTGTTCCTCATACAGGCTGCCCTGAACTTTCAGTGTAACGACCCCAGGGAGTCCTCAAGTCTCCTTGCCTTGCACCGCCGGCTAGATCTGAAAATACGGACAAGGCACTTAAACGCGTGCTTGTGTGTGTGTGTGTTCTTGTGCTCTGCTACGGCATTAGTGTTGCTTCCTATGAAAAACAGAAAAAGTAATGTCTTACCTCTAAGAGCCCTTCAAATCATTCAAATGCATCTTTGTAGGTTGAGCTGATAGATTCCTACAGCTTCATCAAGTTAAGCTTCATTAGTACAACTCACACTCGGATATAGTGTTTTTTTTAGGATCACTCACTCTAATATTAAATCTTGAAGTGTAACTAATGATTCCTCAAATCATGTGTCTTGAGACGACGTGTGCCATTACTGATCCGATTTTTTACCAGGAAAAAAATCCCACAGATGCACACTGAAGACAGGACCGATGCATCATGCAGTGCATTAAAGCAGATAATCGTATAGCAAAACACTGAAAAAAACACCTAATACCTCATAGCAACTCACTAAAATCTACCCAGAACACCCTAACAACCACATAGAAATACATTTAAAATCACCCCCACCCCTCAAAAAATTACCCTAGCAACATGCTTAAAAAACACCCTAGCAACCACATAACAACATGCTAAAAAGCACCCAAAACAACCACTCAGCATAGCATTCACAGCAGTACGTTTCACACAGACAATCAGCACTCGTTTTCTTCAGAAAACTGTCAAATCCAGTCATTTGTTCTTGCTGTCAGGGGTCGCATTCAGCACAAACAGCTACAGCACAAACACACAACTGACATGCATTAAAACCCAGACACAAAAGGAAATAGAAAAGCACTTCCGAGTCTTAATGTAGTATAATGCACTGATGCAGATTCTCTTCCTCTGAAAGCCTGAACACGTCTTTCCTCATCCCGAGCTCAGAAAAGCATCCTTTATTTCTGCCAGCAGCACATGGAGCCCGTGATACAGCTTCAGAGGCCAGATCTCTGAGAGATTTCACCGAGAAAGCACCTGACGACTGGAGAAATGAAAAGAGACAGAGTTTTGTTTAAGAATAAAGAGAGAGCGCTTGTATTTTAAGACGAATTTTCCCTGAAGGCCGGAGAGACAGGCAGAGAGGTGAGGAACTATCAAACGTGTGAACTATACATGTGCTGAATGCTTTACAGGAGTTAAAAGACCAAGCGAAACATTCCTCCAAAAACCTGAAGTAAAACTTCCTGTTTCTGTCAGATTTCTTTCAGTGGCTCATATTCCGGAGTGAAAAACCGTGTAACGGTACATGCATGTAGAAGAAGTCGACAGAAATCACTTTTAACACAGCAAGATTGTTGCAAAATGGCAACTTAAAGGGATAATATAATAAGTCCTCTCAAAAATAAAAAATAGCAACCCCTCAAGTTGTTTCAAACCCATACAGAACAAGATTATAAGTAAATAAAGATGCTAAGTTGCTGAAGTGTTTTTTTTTTTGTCCATTTTGGTCACCATTCACTTGCACTGTAAATAAAGAACAGCTTGGACATTCTTCACAACGTTTTCTTTCCAAAACATGGAAGAAAGAAAAATTACAGGTTTGGATCAACGCAAAAAATAAAAATACATATTTGAGGGAAAAAGGATATTTAATGAGAAAAAATACATACAATTTATATACATATAAATAAATAAAACAACAACAACATCAAACTAAAGCCATAAAAAAAAGCTATTTGAAATAAAACAACAAAACAAATATCATTATATCTCTCATTTTAATTTAGTTTAACTTGACATACTAAAATAACTAAAACTGGAAGTAATAATAATGATAAATATAGACATGCTAAAAAATCTTAATATTAATATAATATTAAAATGAAAACAGAAATAAAAACTCAAAATATTAATAAAAACTATAAGAGTCTCAATGATACAGAAATAACCTCTCTCTCTCTCGCCCTCTAAATTACACATCTAAAATGTTTATTTTTCTCTCATTGAATATCGTATTAAATATTGGATAAACAAATACATATATTTCTGACCGTTTTATATTCATACTTAGGTGTAATACTAATGATGTCATCTTTGGCCACGCCCCAGTGAACACAGAACCAATCAGAAGCTTCCATTAATCAATACTGCTGTGCTCAGCACAATAACATACTAATAACAAATAACAAAGTTTTACTGATTTTTTATGTCTGGTAGAGAGCTGCAGATATGTGCTCAGATCAATACATTACACCACAGTACAGATCAATACGGCACAGAACCACATGACGTTTATAGCCTGTAAATTAGATACACAGTACAAAACGAGCAAGAGCACACACCATTTACCCTACTAAAAATAAATCACAAACACTTCAATTATTTCTCACAGACAGCAATGAGACTCAATCATTCTTCTAAAGTCTGCTGCTTTCCAGTTAAACTCAAGTGAACAAATCTTTTCTGAAACTGAATCAAAAGTCAGATATCTCGATAAAAACTCCAATATTTCTCATCAAATTCTTCAAACACTGACTGATCTGAGCTTACATCTTATAGCTCTGTACTCTTACTGTATGACATTTCTTTCTTCCTTGAGGAACAACATCAAAAAGTTGATTCTTAAATGAAGCATTTAAATCTCCAGAGCTATAAAAGAGCAACCTTTGAGCTCTAAAATCATCTTCTGGGATGCTACACAAACATATGATATTCATTCTGGTTCTTCCCGCTGGAATTTCTCAGTACAACTGCGTTTACTCAAGAAGTAAAGCTGGCAAATATTGAGAAAACTCTGCTGGGCGTCTTTAAAGGAAACGGAGGCTGCAGTCAGAGCAAACTGTGAAGGCCTGGCTGATATCTAACCCTGCTGTTCAAACACACACTAATCCTGCCGTTAGATTCATAGCATAGTGTGAAGCTGGACTACAGCGCGCCGACCCGTGCTCTGCTGCAAACTGATCCCAGATCAGCACTCTCACCTCTGACTGAATGATAGAAGTCCATTCCGCCTGACTCAGAAAAATGGGAACTTTGAGAAAGATCTTGCCATTCTTGTGTGCATCAGATGGTCAGAAAGCATTTAAAAAAATATGAATTAACCCGGTAAAGCCTGACGTATAAATTAATAGTTATTTTAATAAAAGTAATAGTTTAATAGTTAATAGAAGAAAAAGGCTTGTATGTGTGTTTTTTGTTGAGTATCATATTTGAACATCATATATAATATAATATGTGACCCTGGAGCACAAAAGCAGTGTTAAGTCGCTGGGGGATATTTGTAGCAATAGCCAACAATACATTGTATGGGTCAAAATTATAGATTTTTTTTTTAATGCCAAAAATCATTAGGATATTAAGTAAAGATTATGTTCCATGAAGATATTTAGTAAATTTCCTACTGTAAATATATCAAAACGTAATGTTTGATTAGTAATATGCATTGCTAAGAACTTCATTTGAACAACTTTAAAGATGATTTTCTCAATATTTTGATTTTTTTGCATCCTCAGATTCCATATTTTCAAATAGTTGTATCTCGAACAAATATTGTCCGATCATAACAAACAAATTGGGTCACATATAGTACATCGTATATCGTATAATATAGTGAGAATATGGAGGACATATACAAAAAACACCCCAATTTTATTCAGATGCCCAAACTGAGCAAAAATATGCAATTTGGTGCAGAAGCTGATATTAATATGGCCAAAAAGTAAGATGAAATTCTGATGCTAGTAATTTAAATCAATGCAATCTTTCTGAGAGTATAGCAGATACTTACACTAAATTATATAAATATCTATTGTCACTCTATATCTCCTAATAAAATGTCTTAGTAAGAATTTATTTAAATGCTTAGTTTTATGATCAAAGCTCTGTAGTTTCAAAACATATTGCAATGCAACACAATGATGATTGAGGGATGTACAAAGAAACATTTCTCAAAAGCTCACATTTGAACATGAAAAAACCATGTATGGATATAGTCAAGTAAATCCAAGTTGCTTCAGTCCAGTAAGTAAACTTTTTGAAATATTACTAACAATATAAATGTTTACTTTATATATGTGACCCTGGACCACAAAACCAGTCATAAGGGTCCATTTAAAAAAAAATTTAGGATAGGACAATATTTGGCTGAGATACAACTATTTGAAAATCTGGAATCTGAGGGTGCAAAAAAATCTAAATATTGAGAAAATCATCTTTAAAGTTGTTCAAATGAAGTTCTTAGCAATGCATATTACTAATCAATAATTAAGTTTTGATATATTTACAGTAGGAAATTTACTAAATATCTTCATGGAACATGATCTTTACTTAATATCCTAATGATTTTTGGCATAAAAGAAAAATCTATAATTTTGACCCATACAAAGTATGGTTGGCTATTGCTACAAATATACCCCAGCGACTTAACACTGCTTTTGTGGTTTTTGCTTCAGCAAAAAGACATGTGAACCACGACTCGCACTTAAAGGCCTTTTACTTGCTAAAAAAGGCATAAACTATCAATCAGATGACAGAAGGCATGTAGTTTGGATTAATGCAGTTTAGAATTTTGCGTATCAAATTTGATACAGTAGACATAAGATGTAATTTATGAACCTCGACGGCTTGGCTTTCATACCTGCCACTGTGAGGCGTGCGGTTCGGCTGCTGATGGTGCCCAGGTTGTCGATGGTGGCCACGCACTGGTACACCCCCTCATCAGGCTTATTGTGTTTGGAGTGGACCACCGCACTGATGAGCAAAGAGCCGTCGGCTAGCTGCTGCTTCCGGTCGTCCGCTACCAGGTTCAGGAACGTTCCATCCTTCTTCCATTCCACCCTCACCGGAGCGTCGCTAGCGGCCGAGCAGTTCAGGACAGCGGGGAGCCCGCGAACGGCCAGCGTGTCGACGGGTTCAACAGAGAACCTGAACGGGGTAAAGCCTCGAATGTCAGAACCTGAGAACAGAAAAAAGAACATGTTAGAGGATCCGTAGACTATCTGATGCATGAAATGCATTTTAGCACTTTAAAAGGATAGTTCATCCAAAATGAAAGTTTTGCCACCATTTACTCACCCTCAAGACCCTTCAAAATGCAAATTAAAGGGTTAGTTCACCCAAAAATAAAAATTATGTAATTAATTACTCGTTCCAAACCGGTAAGACCTCTGTTCATCTTCGGAACACAAATTAAGATATTTTTGATGAATTCTGAGAGCTCTAATAATACAATAATAATCTGTAAAATAATCCATGTGACATCAGGGGTTCAACCGTAATTTTACAAAGCTACGACAATACTTTTTGTATGCAAAAAAAACAATAATAACGACTTTATTCAACAATTAGTCTCCTCTGCATCTCCAAAATGGCACCAGGGTGACACAGAGGAGACGAATTGCTGAATAAAGTCGTTATTATTGTTTTCTTTGCGTACAAAAAGTATTCTCGTAGCTTCGTAAAATTACGGTTGAACCCTTGATGTCACATGGATTATTTTACCGATCTCCTTGCTATGTTTCTGGACCTTGATCGTGGTAATTACATTGTGGTCTATGAGAGGGTCAGAGAGCTGTTAGAATTAATCAAAAATATCTTAATTTGTGTTTTGAAGATGAACGAAGGTCTTACGGTTTTGGAACGACATGAGGGTGATTAATTAATGACAGAATTTTCATTTTTGCGTGAACTATCCCTTTAAGGTATTTTTAATGAAACCCAAGAGGATTTGGTCTCTCCATTAAAAATCCAGGTAACCAAAAGATCCATAAAGGTATTGTAAAATGAAACCATATGAATTGAGCCGTTTAATCCAAGTCTTGTGAAGAGATACGATCACTTTATGACTTTCAGTGGAGGGACAGAAACCTCTCAGGTTTTATTCAAAATATCTTGATTTCTGAGTCTAATGGGGTTGGAGAAACATGAGGGTGAGTAAATGATGCCAAAATTTTCATTTTTTGGTGAACGATCACTTTAAGGACACCTGATGTCCAACTTAAATCTGGGTCTTGAAGCAACACCAGTTGCATGCAACAAAATAAAAACTTAAAATTATACTCTCAAAAACACAAGATTACAGCTTTCAACATGGCTAGGTGATTTTTATTCTAAAACATTCATAGGTTAGAGTCCCTCACCTTTCTGCTGTGAAACGGCTAAGGAAAACACCTCTGGGAAAAGTTATAAAGCAACACAATTGCCTGACGTTTACAGTGATGTATAATTAAAAAATATAACTGTGTTCAGCCACAAACTTGCACTGTTCAGACAGCACTAATGGCCAATTATCTGCACCAGTGGTGTTGTGCAAAAACAATTACGGCAAGACTTTGCGTAACGTAGCAAGCTGCTTCATACTTTAATTACGTAGGAAATGACAAGCTTCTCATGTTCGACGCAAAGCACAGAATACATAATCTGAGACAGAAGCTAATGTGTTCACCGCCTGCTTGTCATGCAAGCTAATTTGGTCCTAAAAATATGTTTTTACCTGAGAAACAGATGCAAAAGAACAATTATTTATGTCATAAACCATTCACAGATTAGCAACTTTAATGACGCCATTTAATTCCTTTATTGACTTTAGCTGGAAAAATTACTTGCATTTTTGACAAACTATTTTTGACACAATCATTATTGTATAAAGCGCTATACAAATAAAGGTGACTTGACTCCGTTTCATTTCCAATGTACTGAAGATGAAAAACTAACAATGAATCTTTCACTTCAAGCTTTAACACAAGTTTAGGAAAACAAGGAATTAGAGTCACTGTGGAAAGTTGAAAACCATTCAAACTGAAAAGCGCTCAAATCTTGACATGCAAACTTGTGTACTTGCATTTTCTCAATCTAAAAAGGGGCCGTGCATCGCTAAGCAAAGCCACAGTTGCATGCTAATTGTAGAGAAGCCAGCTGGGAAACATTTGGACTGATGTGGGCAAACGCGCCCGTTTGTGGCTTTGGATGTTTGTCACGGGCTGGCTGTGAGTAATCATATGGAGTCCAGAATTGCTGTTGGAGGGCAACAGTGATGCATCCTTGACCCAGAAGCCCCGAGACAGCCAGAAAATGAGGCTGTTGGGTTGATAAGTATAAGCTGTTAGCCTTAATCTGCACACTTTGAGGAAAACCCACTTCAAAACCGCGAAACCTCTCAGAAAGGGGCAAGGGCTCTCCAGGGAAATGGTGCACTAGTGAATGAGAGATACTGACACATACAAAGACTGAAAGAGAACGAGAAATGGCCTAGAACGGCTGGGGAGGAAAGACGGCGGAGATACAAAAACAAAATCAAGGAAATCGGTTAAAGTGTCACATATTATTTCCTTCCTCTTTCTAACGGACCATGACAGGCTTCAGTTTGACAAACTGTTGCATTGTGGGAATACAAGAGCGGCGCAGAGACGATGAGCGTGAAAGGAAACACAATGACGCTTGAGGAGGCGACACAAGCGGGGATTTGCCATCTCTAGGGCCCTTCATAGCTACGTAGCCATCAGCTGAACATTAAATGCTGTAGTTGCACAGCTTACTTAAAATTATAAACCAAAGAAAACAAACCAGCAGGCAAAATTAGGCGTACATAACATCATTTGGCAGAACTGAAATGTGAAATGTGTAATTTATGCACCTCAATTGGCACCAAAAACACTTAAAATAAAATAAAAAATATTTATGTAGATATCATGATGATTCATCAATTTATTCTGAAACCACACAGACACCAAATTAAATAAAATTACAATAAATTTAAATAAATAAATATA